CTTACACTAAGATTCAGTGTTGGTGACATGTGTTTCCTCTCACAGCTACAGGTACTGCAAGAACAAGCCGTACCCCAAGTCCCGCTTCTGCAGGGGTGTGCCTGGTACGTTCTCTCTCCATGTTTCCTGTTTCAGTCTGTAACACTTCAGTGGGACCATGTTCGGGTGACATCACGGTCACCCCTCTGGACCGAACTCTCACAGTGGGCTGCTGTGAGTCCTGCAGCTTATTAAGCCGACCGGTCTCGCTGTGGTGCGGTTCTGGTGTGCAAAGGCTGCAGACACTGACTCTTTGGTTGTGTATGTCCTCAGCTGGGAGGTGCTGAGTGCTTTAAGGGACCACTGAGACAAAATGCTGCTGCTGTGTGGCTCACAATTACTTAGTTAGTCATCACTGTTTCCTTTTTAAAGCTGCTTTTCCATTGGTACCTACTCAGATCGGCTCAGCGCGTTTTTCCATTAGGTCATAGTAGTACCAGGTACTATAAAGGTACCTTTATCGTACCTGCTTGGCCCAGGTTTCAAACGATCCGAGCAGGCACTAAAATGTGATGTCATCAGACTGCAGGCCGCCGATTGGCTGGGCAGTAGCATCACGAGAGCGTCTCGTTCCCCGAGTCTGACGACGTGCCACAGGCCGAGCAGCAGGTATGTTCTCCACATCCACCTTTGTTGGAGTGTTCGTGTCACACGTTTATTCGGGACGTGTTGCTATGACGACAGCCGCGTCAGGTGACTCCAGTCGATCCGAGTAGGCGCTGATGGAAAAGCCCATGAGTTGGTCTCGCTGATGCAGACGTGAGTTTCAGTGTTCTTATCCTTCCTCTTCTGTTCTCATCAGACCCCAAGATCAGGATCTTTGACCTGGGCAGGAAGAAGGCCAAGGTGGACGAGTTCCCCCTGTGCGGCCACATGGTCTCTGATGAGTACGAGCAGCTGTCATCAGAAGGTGAGGAGACCAGGAGCCACGACTAACACACCTGTTGGTAACGTGTGTGCTTCTTTGTAGGAGCACACTTTGGCCCGTGAGTGCAGTTTACTGATAAAGACAGTGAGACGATGGCCTCTGTGGTTAAAAGACCAGGTTGCTTTAAACGTTTTGTTAGAGGTGTTATAGCTGAATGAGCCAGTCTCGTTTTCCAGTTTAGGTCACTGGCTGTTCCCAGTGTTTGTTCGGGGGGGGTACTGATTACTACTGTGGGAAACTATTGTATAGCTGTGAGATGTTTGTAACCTGATGTAACAGCTTGTATATTAAATATAAAAACTATCCTAGTATACAGCACACACACTCTCTGCGAGCTTTAAAGCTGCTCCATAAAGACTCCTGTATATGAGGAAGGAGCCAGTTAAACTGGGCCACAGCTGCTTACTGGCACCAGGAACGTTAAACTGGGCTCGTCACAGGTTCAGTGCATTAGGCAGATAGACTTGGTGCTAATGTGTGACTCGTCTGTGGAGGGTCTGCTGTATCACAGTGGCTAACAGGAGGAAGGCTGCTCAGCCACACCCTGAGCACGTTACTCAGTAAGGAAGCATGCACTGCTGCCTGCATGAGTACGTTACTGTTAGAGGATGCACTGAGCCTGGTAGCTGCAGTGTTGGGTCTTAGGGGAAAGTAAAGGTTCCAGGTTAGAACAGTAAAGTTTGTCTTGACTGCGTTCGAGTCCTGGGTTCAGAGAGACGTCAGAGCACAGCTCTCACTCGTGTGATGACCTCAGTAAGCCCCTCCTCCTCAGTTTGTCTGGCTCGTGTTAATGCTGCAGTCAGTCAGGGTTGTTGGCAAACACAAACAGCGGTGCCTATAACTTCATGCATGTTGTGCTTCAACCCCTGTAGCTCTGGAAGCTGCCCGTATCTGTGCTAACAAGTACATGGTGAAGACCTGCGGTAAGGACGGTTTCCACATCCGCATGCGTCTGCACCCCTTCCACGTCATCCGCATCAACAAAATGTTGTCCTGTGCTGGAGCTGACAGGTGAGAGGCTGACTGACCCGTAGCCCTGCTGCACTGAGCGCAGTCTGGCTCATCCTGTAATCCTCTTGTTTTGTGTCGGGCAGGCTCCAGACTGGAATGCGTGGTGCTTTTGGTAAACCCCAGGGCACCGTGGCCCGCGTGCACATCGGTCAGGTGATCATGTCCGTGCGTACCAAGGCCCAAAACAAGGAGCACGTGGTGGAGGCTCTGCGCAGAGCCAAGTTCAAGTTCCCTGGCCGTCAGAAGGTAAATGCTCCCAAAGCTTCTGCTGTAATAAATGTAAAGTGACGTGAGTCCTCTGCAGCTTATTAAGCCGACCGGTCTCGCTGTGGTGCGGTTCTGGTGTGCAAAGGCTGCAGACACTGACTCTTTGGTTGTGTATGTCCTCAGCTGGGAGGTGCTGAGTGCTTTAAGGGACCACTGAGACAAAATGTGTCTTCATCAGGAGCTTAGTGTAAGTAAGTGTACTGAAAGGCTGAACCAATGTCTGTGCTCTCGCCCTCAGATCCACATTTCCAAGAAGTACGGCTTCACCAAGTTCAACGCCTGTGACTTTGATGACATGATGGCCGAGAAGCGTCTGATTCCTGATGGCTGTGGGGTCAAATACATCCCCAACAGAGGCCCTCTGGCCCGCTGGAGGGCCCTGCACGCAGTCTGAGGCTGCTCTCTGTGCCCACATAATCAATAAAGATGGCTTTGATTACAAAAGTGATGAGAGTGTGGCTTTGTCTTCATTGAACATGAAATCGCACATCAAGTCTGGGGGAGGTTTTCTAACGTTGTTTCCAGTTGCACTTGAGACTGGACACATTAATCTTACCACAGGTGTTAGGAGTTATACTGAAGTGTGAGCAGTGTGTGTGAGGATCGTTACAGATCCTAACCTCTATAACTGCATACAGTCCCACACTAACAGCTGATGGTCTCCTTCATGGGGCTCAAAGTATTCAGCCTTTAATTCTGTTAATTTACAGCTGAGGAAACACTGAACACGCTTTGGACTGTAAAGGTAGCATGCTGAAAGCCTCGTCTGTCTTCTCTGCTGTCCCACAAATGACATGAACAGGTATCCACATTCATTGATACTGAACACAGGTGGATGTTACCTTCTGACAGGTAACAGTCACGTGGAGCTGTAGCTGAACTGTAAACACCAGTTTAACCAAAATAAGAACAAAGTTGCAACATTAAAGAACAGCGGCTCAGTAGGATGAGTGCTCTGCAGTGATCAGACCTGTGACGTGTCCATGCTCTCAGCTCAGTTTGACTTGTTGCTGCGTTTCAGGTAAAGAGCTTTAAATGAACTTGCGTCTGTGTTCTTATTGACGAGCTGCTGAAGCATCGGGAACAGCGGACAGCTAAACGTGTTGGCAAATCAGGATTAGAAGATAATCAAACACATTATTGCTGCCACCGCTGTGGTTAACTTAGGGATATAATGTCCAGTAGGTGGAGCTACTGTTTGTTTTTAAGGAGACCAAATGAAGGTCCTGGTTCAGCGTCTGCAGCTCCCACCATAGCACCAGCTGTACTGCTGTATGTAGTTCAGTGCTCACTGTTGCGCTTCTCGTGGGACATTTCTGTGAGAAACAGTTTTTGCAGCACGTTTGGAGTCCGTAACGTTTGTTTTCATCCATCTGTTTGGCAGCGGTGTGTCCCTGCTTCATCCAGGCCGACCTGTCCGCTGGAGACAGGAGGACAGTCTGCAGGTTCTCCCGTGTTTTCCTGGCTGGCTTCCTCCCACGGTCCAGAGACATCTGTTAGTGGGTGGGGCTAACTGGTGATTCTAGATTTCCTGTTGGAATCACTGGCAAGAAGATTACAAAGAAATGAAATCTAGGATGAAAGTTTGGACAGCGGTGGGAGTGGACACTTCATTGCATTCAGGTGATGGCTGGTTTCACCTGTGTCTTTGTATGCCACAGCGTAGCTTGTGCCAGGTGTTGGACACTGGCTGTGAGACACAGTTCACAGGTCCGGACTTGTGAGTGGGAGGACACCGTGTGATTATTCCACAGCTGGAACGGCAGCGCTCTTGATGACATCACAGCTCACCTGGTCTCAACCCCACTGTGTTTTTACTGCCACCTCCGTTAATTTCACAGATGAATACAAAACTATTTCCAATAATACGCCTCAGTACTAGATTTCTTTTTTTTAAAGTGTTTTAAGCTCTTGGGGGGGTGTTTTTAAGGACCACTGATGTGAAACTGGTTCGTTCATCTGTTTCCTTTGCCGTGCATACACCGTGCATACACCACCATGCTGAAATAAATACAGAATAAACACCGTGTAACGTTTTAATGACGTGTGCGTGCATGTCGAGGACCTACAGCAGCCTGTAATCTCCTCCATGCTCCTGAAGGTGGCAGTGACATTACTGAGGAGCTCGCCTGCCTGTGCGACCTGTGGAGGTTCCAGGTGTCATCCCAGATTCCCAGCAGGACACTGATCCGAGTTAGAAACGCTGAGGAGTGAACCACGTCAGGTGCCTCCACCTGTAAAGCTGTTCCTGTTTCAGGTTCCTCAGTGTTGCCCCCTGCTGTTAGTTTAACAGCCCTTTCTGCTAACTGACCAGATCAATATCTCTGAAGTGTAACTGACACGGTCCTAAGCTCTGATGAACAAGTCTTTGAATGTTTTGGAGCAGTGTACACGTCTTTAACCTGCAGGCTGTCTTAAACTTCCCACACCTGATCTGTTCATCTGTGGACTGTTTGCCTCCTCACAGTAAATACTTAAGTCATATATGTGTAACCAGGCAGGTTTGTGGTTTTTTTACTTTGAAGTATTCAAATGTTAATGTCTGCAATGATTTTCCTGATAAAGACTTGATCTCTGACAAACAGAAGAAAGTTTTTCACAGCAGCAGATCTCCTGCTGCTTCCTCCTTGTAGTCCCTCCTACAGGAAACAGAGTGGCGGGGGTAGCTTTGAGTTTCAGTCGAGAGACAGGAGTAAGAAGCGAACACACCCTACAACTCCAAGAAGTCCCAGAGCTGGTAAGCTGTAGTTTGACGACCCACAGAAGGAGCGAGTGAAGGAAAAGCCGTCTCAGTGGAGCGTGTGACCTGTAATCTGCTGCTGTGTGTTTATGACTACAGAGCTGCACAGAGCTGCACTCTCCTACACACTAAGCTGTGTGTCTGGGTTCAAGACCTGACAGCTGGAGCTCACATTACAGCAGCTGGTACAGCCTGCTACACACACGCTGTAGTTTCATGTGTTGTGCTGAAAGTAGACGTGTAACAGCTTTAGAGCTAACAGAGCTGAACTAGAGTCATTTCTCCATGTTTCCCATGACGTCAGGATCATTCCTGCGATGGTCACTGCTCCGTGTTTTCTGTTTGATTTTAGGATTTTATCATCTTGTTTTCTGGAGTTTCGCTTCTTGTTTTCCACGTTAGTTTCAGATGTGTGCCGTGGGTTTTCCATGATTGTTTCCGTGTGTCCTGTTTCATACTGACTGGACTGTTATGTTTGTTTGTTTTCCTTCATATTTCTCCTGTTTGGGTTTCTGGACATTGTTCTCCAGGCCCTGAGGAAATGATGTGGTTACAGTTGCTGCAGGACACTAAGAGCAGTGACAGACTGAAGTAACTGAACACCGTGGTCTTCCTGTCAGGGACTCATCAGTCCACAGATGTGATTGCACTCATTAATGCAAAACATCTGTGGCTGAGGGGGGACCTTGGACAGACCTGGACTAGTTTGGTTTCCTGAAGACGTGTCAGCTCTATCTTCAGCTCTAAGAACCTGAGTGGATTTGTCCCTTAAGAGGAACCACTACTGATCATGTGCATCATCTCGTGAGCCAAAGTGTGAATGTGTGGGTCATCATCAGCAGGGGTTTCGGGTGAAACCATCGTGACCAACAGACTGAAAGCTAACTGGCTATGTTATTTTGTCTGAAAGTAAATATGAGTGGACATTTTTTAATGAACACACTATTAGTTATTTATGTGAGAACATTTTTAAGGAGCTGAAATGGTAAATGTGTGAGCCTCTGCATTGGCCCTGTGACAGGGTGGTGACGTGTTCAGGGTGGACCCCTCCTCCCAGGTCACCTGACCTTAGATAAGGGGAAGAACAAATATGTGGTTCATGTCTAAGATTCATGCTAAAGCTATTGTTGGTTATCAGGAGGAATTGGAGAAGTGAATAATTTTAATTTCACAAGAAACAGGAAGAAACAGGAAGTTTCACTGCTGAGTCAAACCACGAGAAACAGGAATAATCACAGTTCATGTTTACGCACAAACAACAACAACAGCCATTAGATTTGTGCTGGTTTACTGTTTACTTCTTTTTTATCAATTAAAATCATTCAAGTTAAAAACCTTTTAGTTATACAACCCCAGCTCCAAAAATGTTGTTCCCAAATCAAACAGATGGTGAAACACCATTAGAGGAAAACATTCTGGATTTGATGGCAGCAACAAACTCCCGTCTTCTTTGCACCATCAGAGATGCAGTGGTCTGTCTCCTCTTTAGTCCACATCTCAGTTATGTTGACATCAAAGCTTCCATCAAAAGTGTTTTTTTAAACACCAAACAAAGCTGAATTTGTCCCGTAGCAGCCCTCAGCTCATGTGTTTCATCATGTTTCTCGATGGGGACTGTGCTTCCTTCCAGCTGTGGGCCATGAGTCTGTCTCTCCTCCTGCTGCTCGCCGTCCTCGTGGATGTGACCGATACTAAAGCTGGTTCAGATTTTAGGATCTGTGCCTTCAACACACAACACTTTGGTGAATCCAAGTCGAAGAAGAGTGACGTTATGGGGACTCTTGCCAGGGTAAGGTAAAAAGAAAGACTGGGTAAGAGTGCTTGTGTTCTTGTATTTGGCTCAAACAGCTGAGGGACAGTGTCGTGGTTCTTTAGTGGACGATAGTCACTACATGGCTGTAGCTAGTGGGGCCACTAACAAACTGACAGAATTACTCAGTGAATCAGTAAAAATGATTTGTTTAGAGAAACTTGTTTCCTGTTTGAAAATTTGTTCACCACATTGTGAAATTAACCAAAGCAACCAAACAAAGGCTATGAAGACACTTCCATGCATTATCATTTAGCACCACAAGGTGGCGCAGAGTCAATGCCAACGCGTTCCTTACTACATCAGTCGGAATGAACACGTTCTAATTTGCGCGGTGGTCTGGGAAAAGGACCAAAAAGAACAAATATAACAAATATTTTTAGGGATGCAGGACATTTTTACTTTATTGCAGGTGACCAGTGGGACGAATAATGAGTGGCTCCTCTGTGTGTCCCACTCCCACTCACCTTTTCATGGCTGTGCTGTGTCTCCATTTCAGATCATCACACGCTGTGATGTGTGTTTGCTCCAGGAAGTGAGAGACAGTAGAGGAAAAGCTTTACCACTGCTGCTCGACTCCCTAAAACGGTGATTATTCATTCGCTTACACACACACACACACACACACACACACACACACACACACACACACACACACACACACACACACACACACAGATACCCACAGATACCCCCACAGACACCCACACACAGACCCACAGTCACCCACACACACCCACAGACACCCACAGACACATGTTATTGCATCAGTTTGGAGGTGAGTGGTTTGGACTCTAAATGCTCAAACTTAGCGACTGACACATGCAGTGACTGCATCCCCGTCCCATCTGTGCTGTTTCACCCTCAGGTTTGACACCAAGTATAAATATGAGACTGTGGCCAGCGAGAGACTGGGCAGGTCTGAGACATACCAGGAGCAGTACGTGTTTGTGTACAGGTGAGCTACACCTCTGTGCAGAGGACATCTAAGTGCAGGTATAGTGACGGAGTCTGGCTTCACTGAACCTGAATGTGTTCAGGAAGGAGACGGTGAGGGTCACGGACCAGTATCAGTACCCTGATAATAAACCAGGAGATGTCGACGCTTTCTCCAGAGAGCCGTTTGCTGTCCGCTTCAGAGCGGACCGCACAGGTCGGTCCCCGATGCTTCCCTGTGACAGAATGGAAATATTGGTGCTGTTGGATGGATTCTCCCTCTAACCCTCATTTCCATCCTCAGCTATAAAGGAGTTTGTTCTCATACCTCAGCACACCACGCCCTTCAACACCACCAAGGAGCTCGATGCCCTCTATGATGTTCTACAGCATGTGAGAAACATGTGGAAAACTGAGGTAAAGACTATTTTGGCATTCATCAAACAGACAAGAAGTCAATACCACAGGTGTACATGGTGACCGCTGTGCTGTAATGGGCAGAATGTGATGCTTCTTGGAGACTTTAATGCGGGCTGTGGCTACCTCGCTAAGAAGAACAGGAAGAATGTGCGCCTAATCACAGACACGAATCTTATTTGGCTCATCCCAGACGACGCTGACACCACCGTGCGATCGACCACATCCTGCCCCTACGACAGGTAAACGCACAAAGCTTTGATTCAGGAGAGTTCCCAAGATTTTAGGATCCCTGGAACTTTTCAAGAAACAAAGTTTCCTTTGATAAAAGCTGATATGCAATATGTAAATGTAAGCAGACTATAGCAGACTTAAATGTGACCGTGTGAATGAAATAAGAGACATGAGTAAATGTGTGCTGCTCTCTGCTTGTGCCAACAGGATTGTTGTGAATGGGGAAACCTTTCACAGAGCCATCGTGCCTGCTTCAGCCAAACCGTTTAACTTTCAAGAGCAATACGGACTGACGGAGGAGCAGGTAACAGTCCACGCTCTGCATGTCTGTACCAGTGTGTGTGGACTGTACAGAAAGACACACCTACAGAGTGTGTTAAACACGGTGTGCTGTGATTTTGTTACTGAAACAGATCAAACTCTGTTCATTTGTTGACACTGGCTGTTCTTCCTGTGTTTTTTATTCAGGCGCTGGATGTCAGCGACCATTACCCGGTGGAGGTCCTGCTAAAGGTCAAGGATTCCAGAGCCTTTCTTGGGGGCTCATCTATTACCAGTGGAAACCAGTTTATGACTTTGTTTGTCCTAAGCCATGTTGCCTTTCAAATATTGACAAGGTAGTTAAATAATAAACCTTGAGGATGAGATAGGTCTGTGTTATAGCCAAGTTCATGAACTGATGAGGACATGCGGAGCTGAACTTTCCAAATATCCCTGATGTTGGTCTGCAGGTTAAAAAAGATAAAATTACACAACTATTTACCTTCAACAATATGGCTTTGACTGCAGTGTACAATGGCCGAGCTGTGTGTGGATGTGTATGCGTGACTTCAGTGTTAGGCTGCAGATTCGCTCAGTTTATGGCAGCTGGACCCAAAGTGTTCAAAGATCAAATACACATGATTTCATCCACAGCACACAAAACTGTGCACACAACTGACAATGAAAGTTTCTCACCTGCTGTAAATATTTGTGAGTGTGTTTATGGTGTAAAAATCATCTGAGGCCAGGTTTGTTTTCAGTGCAGAGGTAAGTGTAAACTTCACGTTTCGCTGTTTTCTGTTTGTTTTTTTCAGCCTTTAGTGCGACAGGACAGAAAGACGAGGAGTAAGACATGCTGCTCACGGCTGCAGGCTCGATTCAAACACAGGCCTAAAGGCCGTAAACTTTAGTGTGCTCCCAGGATGAGCAGGGGAGTTTCTAAATACGATCGAGGACACGCTAACCTCCTTTCCTTTCTTGTTTCTGATTGGACAGCCAAATTGGACTTTTCTGCTCCTGCACACACTATTAAACTATCATTGATTCCCATTATTGTGTCATGACCAGCTTCTTGAGATGTCTTCATGGACAGTTTGCAGATCATCATGTGTCAGACTGGACACTGTGGACGACTGCTCTGTGGGCTTAGATCCTGCCTGTGTTCTTACCTAGTGTCAGAATCCTCGGCTGTGCAGCAGAAGACTGTTTGATGAATTCTGAGTGAGAAGTTTACAACAGAGGTGCACAGCTTTGGTCTGCGTACAGAGAGCGTCTGTATGTGCTGCTGCTGCTCTGATCGTCCACATGTCAGCCACAGAGACGAAGTGAAAAAAGTGTGAAAACCTGAAAACTGTAACAGCTGAACTTCCTGCTGAACTCCGCTCCTTTCCCAATCGATCAGTATTAGACAGACAGTGTGTCATACACGCCGAGCACAACCCAAACAGACATGCTTCATTTTTCTTGCTTAATATACAAAACAAAGCCTCCCAGTCTTTGTTTTATTGCAGCTACAGAGCTTGTCGTTTGTTACTCTGACATGAAAGTGTTGGCGCTACATGAATGTGAAGTCGTAACTCTGATAGACCCTCACCATCATCACCTCACTCTCTCTCTAAATCACACGTGCAAAATAACAACAGCAATCCCAGGCTGTGGGACACGTACACGTCATATAAGGTCACACCACGATGTCTGTAATCATGGAACAAAGGAGAAGTGTCCACAAACCCACTGTGTGGGTCACCTCATCCTCGGTCTGTGTTACTTTACAGTGGAACAGACACTCATATTACAGTAAGAGCACATATTATAACAACAGTAGTAACAATGTTTCAGACTGTATCTTTTGAGCCTTGCGGGTCGTTGTACTCATCCTGCTCTCTTCTCTCTCTCCTCTTTTGAGCACCATTTTTCTCTTTGCTCGCTCAACATGAAATAAAATGCTGCTGTGCTGTTTAACTCTATAACACAAAACTGTCGCATGGTTGACGTCAGCAGGTCTGCAGGGATTTAGTCAAATTCTCAGGCAAAATTCTTTGAGGATCTAATTGTTTGAGGACCAGGCAGCAAGTTCAGAAGGTACCAGTACTATATTTCCCAGCATGCATCTGTGCCATCACAGCTTTCCTGAATAGGTGTATACTTTAATCAATGTAGTGTAAAATATGTAAGGACAGATTTGAAAATAATCCTGATCAGAACAACGTGTGCTGTAAAAGCTATGACACAGAGCAGAACTCTTATGATGTGGTCACTTTGCATTACATACTTATATTAACTGTGTTACGTCAGAGTCAGGCCTGGGAGTGCCCGGCTGACCTGTGGGATGTCGCCTGCAGCTGTAGCTGTGACAGTATCATCGTCATACCCTCCAAGCCTGGAGCTGTAACATAGATATTACAGCTGTGTTGACCTTTGGAAATAAGAAATACCTTTTGTATTTCTGTTGGCGTAAACATTAGAAGATAAGAAGAAGAAGACATTTCGTGTGTCTGCTGCATGAGTTCGATTTGTCCAGACTTTTGCATGGAGCTGAATGTCTCAAGTCAGATAAAAGGAAACGACCTCTATTTTTAAAATATCTGATTTATTTTTCTGCACATCAAACTGCCCTGAAGCAGTGCTGGCATGCACGCATTGCACAGTATCAGGGTTACAATTCCATGTTATTCAGCACATAGTGCAGACTGTGTGTTGCAAGGATCAGATTTACTGTCAGTGATGCTTGCGTGTGGTGGCAGCGTGCCTGTGTTTGTGCTGAGTTATCTGCTATTTGTGTCCTATTTGTCTTGTCTGTTTGCTCTTCTTCTGCTCTGTTTATTCTGGTATGCAATCCTAACGGCGTTATCTGTGACAGAAACAGAAGCACACAGATAACAGAAACAAACCTGCACACTTACATGTGGAAAATCTGCAAGTTTGTCTTTTTTCACTTTGTAAATCGTGTGTCAGTCAGTTCAGTATTTCCTGATTCACTGAAACTATGTGTCCTCAAAGATTCAAGATTCAAAGATTCAAGCGTTTATTGTCACGTGTACAAAGAAAAGCATTTCTCTGTGCAATGAAAGTCTTTCTCTGCTGTCCACACACAGATGCAGGTTAATATGTACAAACAGATCAAATAAAAAAAGCATAAATAAATACAACAGAATAAAACTGAGGTAGATATCAATTTCTCTACTTTGTGCAGACAATCAAACAGCATAAAGAGTAGTTTAGCTGTTGGCCATGAAATAAAAACACAGCTTCTTCAGTGGAAACAGTATTTTATGGAGCCCATCAGCAAAAAGGGAATTAGGGCATCGTGAGCAGACTGATGTCAGCATGAGCGGGGAAAGTGACCGAGGTGGGATGCTTGCTGTGTTTTTGAGCTGACGAACACCCTGAGCTCTGGGAAACATTGTAAGGTTAATAAATCAGAAGATAACAAACATTACACAGTTTCAGTTCTGAAGTAAATGACTTTTTGAAGTTACAGTGAGCCAAGTGTCTTTGTTACACAGACCTGTCGGTCTATCCTTCAGGCCTGGGCCCTCTAACACATAGACCACAAGAAAAATGACTAAATCCTGTTTTGCATGGTTGGATCTGAACAAGGTTCCAGGTCGAGCTTCAACATGCAACAAGAAGAAATGTTACTGAGACAAAACATTTTGCTGAGCATGCAATTTATTGAAAACAACATTTAAACTGAAAAAGGCTGTTTGACAGGACCACACCTCCAGAAACCCTATAACCCCCCTCCCCCCCCCTCCCAAAAAAACAAAGCAAAGGTCCAAACATGAACTCAGTAAAGAGCTCTACTGTTATCGATCACTTCAAAAATTCATTGCAGCACGTTTGATCCAAGCAGGACTGTATGTTCTTTGCATGTGTGTATAATCATGTCAAATCCTTCACTGGGCGAGCACCTGGCCACATGTTTGAGCACGTATCCAGCTGAACAAAAGTCTGGGGGGTAAGGTTTGTTTAGCACGATAAGATGAGACTGCAAACAGACTCAAAGCTATAAATGCTGCGTGTTTCTGCAGCAAGCATCAGTCTCACTGAGTCCCCTGAAACCATGCTCCGCCTCAGCAGCACGCTCTGTGAGTACAGTCAGCATTTTCTCATTCATGTTGTTTTCTAGCTGAAGAAGATTTCTTCAGTTCATGTATTTAAGGGTAAAGTATCACGTGTTTTCATATTTGGCCACATTATAAATTGAGAGTGCTGCTCCTTTGTTTTTCAGTGTTGGCAGCAGCCTGTCTGCTTGTTAGCACAGGTAAGTGTCTGCTAGTCTGATTGTTTCTCAGTGTGCTTAGTTTTAATATGTGAGTTAGACTAATTGCTCCATGTGTGCTTTAAAGGTGCGCAGAGAGTCATCACGTGTGGGAACCACGTCCACCGGCTGAGCTGTGGTAAGACCCAACCACTCATGTTTCTCAGCGCCGCAGTGTTTCTACGTGTTATTGTTATTTATTTATTGGGGACGAATGTCGAACACAGATCACATCATAGACACACAGTGAGGTACGAGAGCAGAAACACTCAGGACCGACTTTAAACCATGAGTACAGAACTCCACATGCTGATATCCAGCAGAAGCTTTACACCATAGTGTCCTATTCCTCCAGTTTTTATTCACATCTCTTCAGTTGCCTTAGAAAAAGTGTCCATACAGAAAGCCACAGTGGTCGTATAGAGCCCGGAGCCACACACGGTGGTACATTACCCCCCCACTCTGAGGATAGGCGGGAGAGAATGGACGGGTGGATTTTACACCCTGTGAAGTGTTTCAGCAAACATACACCGTCATTTATCGCCTGGAAAAACCTCCACACAACATTGCATCAAAACTAAATAAGTGGCACACATGAGTTTAATATAATCACCACTAAGTTAGATTTGGAAAACACGCCCGTTTCTTTAAGGGATCCTTGATTTGGTTCTATGAGTACAGAGTGTGTAAGACAGGAATGACATTTGTGTTTGGGAAGCATACAAAGCAGCGAGTGAGCATCTCTGCAGTTTGTGTTTGTGAGTTTGTGAGGCTGACGGTAGCTGCAGACGTCCCTGGTTGGTAAGCTCTGTCGTTGCGTTTGAATACTTGCCTCTGTGATGTCCAACAGAAACTGGAGTGATTCGTGTCCAGGAGTCCATGTATGGACGAAGAGACCGGGACACGTGCAGTGGAGAGAAAGCTGAAGAGGTGGCCATCAATACTGCGTGCTCTCTGGAGGGTGCTGAAGACACCATCAGGACAAGGTATACGTCCCAATAACACACTGGTATTTGCTATCAATGGATGTCACTGCTGCTGATCACCACATATAGATATTTCTAAGTGTTATAGAAGATTACCAAAAAAGGAATTATGTCTGTTCTAACTGTAACTGATGCATGTTATGTTATCTGCCTGCGCATGAAGGAGCGTTAACCCTGACATATGAAACTGTGTATCTAAGTGCTTCTTCTTGAGATCGACACAGAAGGTGGTATTGTGTACATCGCCACATGCATGTGCTTAATAAATGATCGTTGATTGACTGGACCTGCTCTGAGTTTGTTTCTCAGCCCAACATCAAAGAAGTCGGGACAGGTCCTGTAGAATAACAGGGGATGAAATGTGCTGCATGTATAGTGTGAAACTTCAGTGATGTGAGAGATCATGTCTGGAAGACGAGATGCTTTTTGAAAAGTGAATATAAAAGAATCAGAGTGCCTTCTTGCTTTCATGGATAGTGATCGTGGAGTAAGAAATGCCAGGTTATCAGATCCAGTGCAAAGCTGGGACTGCGAGCCTTTCGCCTCAGACAAAACAGACGATTTCACTTTGATGATATTTGTGGGGAATTCCTTTTACCTTACAAGACCCCATAATCACGTAGAACCCAATGAAAGACTGTTCTTCTCAGCGTTGGTGGGATTTCCCATGGTGCTTCACTGCTGACTCTACTTTCTATTATCTGTTCAGCTGTGACGGCAAGAAGGTGTGTGAAGTAACCCCGGCCATCTTTGCAAGAGATCCCTGCAATGACACCTTTAAATACATCCAGACCACCTACACCTGTATACCAGCAAGTAAGTCATGCACCTGCTTTAAACAGTAGGCTCTGAGTGCTCCACCTAATCTGACTGATGTTACTTTGGCAGTTCACCTGATAACCTGCGAGCAGTCTATGGTCGAACTGCAGTGCGGTAAGATCACGTGTGACCCGACAAACTTTGACGTGTCCTGATAACTGCCTCTCCAAGCACCCTTCTTCAGTTTTCAACAGCACGCACTGCTTTCTTTGACAGACCAGGGCCACGTCATCCACGTGTACCATGCTGATTTTGGGCGCCGTGATCCACACATATGCTCCTTCAGACGGGAGGCCTCACACATGGAAAACATCAAGTGTTCAAACCCCACTAGCAAAGTTGCTGAAAGGTACAGCTTTAACATTAATGTGACTTTTTACTGTGAGTGACCAACGAGATCTTAAACATGACTATGAAGTCTTTGGTCTTTGGCACTTTCCTCTCGTAGCTAACGACATATATTTCTGAAGCTAGCGGAGCTGAAAGTATGATTTGGGTGAGCTGGGACGTGCAACCATCACTTTGTGTTCACAGCGTTTGCTGTCCCCACACAGCCAGGGGTTATAGCCTGGGTTTGATCAGTGTTATTAATCACCAGTATTTGGATTTACATAATTAGTGTTGTACTTCTTTTGCACATCCACATCATTCATACACATCGTCTAGTATGAGAAAACAACAAACAAATGTGTCTTTAATTTGCATTGTCAGCTGGGGATCTTTACTACCTGCCTTTAAGTGTTTCATCTGCACTCTGCTGCTCTGCATCCACAGGTGTAATGGGAAACGCACCTGTTCTATGAGAGCAAGCAGTGGAATGCTTGGCGACACCTGTCCGCGTATGTACAAATACCTGGAGCTGACCTACAACTGTCTGAGTAAGTAGCTCAAAGGATGAAGAGTATGTGAACGGTTCATGACACAAGGGGAAGGAAAACCAGCAGCAGAGCCAAACAGGTGCTCAGTGATCCACCTGTGATGCCAACAATAACAGGCTGCTTTATTTAGCTTCCTTCTTCATGTGAACTGTTACAGTGAACAGCCAACCACGTCTGACTGTGTGTGTTTGATCTGTTGCAGAATCTGTAGGTGCTTGAGAGGATTAAAGATCCTGCAGTAACAGTATCCTTCACTAAATAAAATACATGAAAAACAACAAGTTTCTGTGTGTTTGTGACTCGTCAGTGTTTTCATGTGTCCTCACATCTATACAGAGCTTTCACTCACTGGGCCCACGTCCTCATTTAAGAACGAGAACAAACAGCTTGTAGAACTGGGGGAACGTATAGAGATGAGAACTGGAGGGGGCGTGTTTGGAGGCGTGGTCCCGCTCCTGAAATTCAGATACTTTATCTCCAATTTCTATTCTTACTGATCGCTCAGGTCAGAGGCAACAAGAGGATCAAAGTGAAGACATGAAATGAAAGTGAATCTTTAGTGCAACAACATGACATTTATAAAAATACTAGTTTTTCCTTAGCAGGAGAAATGATTTCTATTTACACACAAAAAACTAAAATGAATAAAAAAAGTTGACCTTTTTTGAGCTATGACACAAGCAAACTGCTGCTGAGCACTCAATCAAGTTCAAACTACAAAAGAAACAGACGGGAGAAAAAGAGGCGATTCTCACAAAGCAGGTTTGATACAAACTTATCACAGTGTGTCAGCAGCTGGACTGAAAGTCAAAGAGAAGCACACAGAGCGAGTCTGGGAGATCTGTCTGAGGACCCCAGAGGTGCCACGAGACCCGAGGACCTCAGTCTCAAATAAGACAATCGCTAGAACCCTGAACAGGAGCGGACGTGACAGACCAACAGGAGCTCTGACAGACTCGAGCATGCTGGACAAGCTGGAATACGGGGACGGTTGACTACCATGGCAGTGTTACACAGAAGTCTAAAGGTAATACTACCAGTAATAGCACTAGTACTAGAAGTTGATAATAATTGCCTTGGCCTTTGGTCATTATTTACAGGTATGTAAAAAACAACCCACAAGCAACAAAGTGCTAAAAATTTAAATTAAATGAACAAAATAAATGTATGCAAAGAAAACAAAATCCTAGCAAGGTTTCTGTGAGGGGTCAGCGGCTCCGCCCTTCACCCGTTTGCTTCCTTTTCTTCTGTCTCCTGGTCTTTGTCATATCCACTTTCATTAGAAACCATCAGATTCATGAAAAGAAAATTAGCTGAAATAAGTAGCCTAAGTGATGAACATTATGTCACGATGAATGCAGAAATACAGACTCACAGCTGAGTTACACAAAGCTGGAGCCTCGTCAGTGGCTTTTCACTGAATAATAAAGAATGTGTGAGTCGGCACCCCGAGGTGCTCCTCATCAGGACCAACAACACTACACATATAACATACAATAAGATTTCCTTCTCTCACTGTTGGCTGGTACGTTTAGGAATATTAGTGAAATACATGAGATTAACAGAACGGAAACACAATCAGATCCATGTAGATTCTACCAAAACCCACAAACACCTGGATCACAGAGTCACCTTTTAAATTTGAATCCATATTTTAACCTTTGAAAAGTCTAAAACAGTCTGTTCTGCTTGTGTTTATCAGTGACATAATCAGTGGACAAAGCGCAAATAAAACATGCTGATCTATAATCTTTGTAAAAAAAATCTGAAAAATGATAAAGTGAAACTGATTTGATGGGTGATCTATTAGTTTTCTAGTGTCTAAACAACATACTAACATTTTATTTCCTTTCTTTTCCCTTCATGAAATGTAACATGAATGCTGTTTGCAGATGTTTAATAATCAGTTCTTGTCGTCGTCATTCGTCCAGGTTTTACAGCATAAATAATTGATCCATACTGCAGACACCAGGTCCAGGTCTCAGCACCATCTGATAACAGAGCAGCCGCCTCACTGATGAAAAGTGAATCATCAGCTGAGGAGAAATGCTAACTAGCTAACAGCAGGCTAACAGTATGTGTGCTAACTGCTAATCTAGCTAACACATTAAGAGTAGGAGGCACAGATTGATGCTACTGTGTAAAACTATCATCTGTTCAGATGTGTCCTCCTTCACTATAGCAACACTGACATGCTTGTATTCATGTTCATTTAAGGAGGTGTCACTGGGCACAAGTGGAGAGGCAGGGAAGTCATCCACCTGCCCACTTAAACACAGTCAGCTGATTAATGGATGACTCAGTTTAAACTGGTCACGCTCATTCGTGGATTTTTAAAGTTTTCATTTTCAAACTCTACTACTAGTCACGTTTATTTATTTCTAATTTGTAATGTTTGTTCCGAAGCCGTCTACCACATATCTGCTTGTCGATGTGCCTGCACAATAAAGACAATACTTATGTTTGTGTGAGATCACGTGTAGAATGTGCTGGAGTGTTTAATTAGAGTAGAAAAGGCCTGTCGTCCATTTAGTGAGAGCTGGTTGCCTTCTCTTCGTGCAGAGCTGCGTTAGATGCCAGGAAACAAGCTTAAAATGCAAATCGTGTCACGTACTACATCTGCATGGCACCATGCTGCAGCTGCGTCCTGTGACCTGTATGGGCTCATTTTGGAAAAACTCATATGGGTCATATTTGAGGGTACGAACAAACCAATGAATCCCTGTTTGAGGACTTTTTGAACCCAGCCTGAATGTTCTCTGATAGCATTTTATTTTGAAATTTCATAGTCAGTAAGTGCTATTAAACAGCATTTTGAATACAACTAAAAATCAAACCTCAATATCTTTTTCACTGAAAATCAACAAAGTCCATCATCCTGTGTCTTACTAATATCACATAATATCATCATCTTTAGATTGAACTCACCAAAGCTTATATTGACTGTTATATCTTATCAGTTTTGTTCATATTTTTATCTTTATCTTGTTATGTCTGTTTGGTCTCTATCAGGTTACTGATTACTGTAATCTATCAGGTAATATCTGATTACTGTACTCTATCAGGTAATATCTGATTACTGTAATCTATCAGGTAATATCTGATTACTGTACTCTATCAGGTAATAATTTGATTTTGTAAAAGCAGTATAGATCTGGATGTGGGCCCAGGGCCAACTGCTCTTTACTTAGCCGTTCAGGCAGTGAATCCTGGTGTCAGACCTCACTAATTATTATTGTTATTAGTAAATTACTGACCCATGCAATTAGCTCAGGGTGAACATCTTCATAGTCTGTCTGGAGCTGCAAACTCAGCTTCTCAGTCCTCACAGGTTTGGTTTTTCATTTCCATTTTTTCCTGATATTTACGTCTCTGATCACTCTGATGGTATAGGCTGGCAAAACGACCAAAGTTGTTACTTTATCCATATAATTATGGCGCTAAATGTGAAACAGTAAACTACTTAATAACTCGTGAATCCTCCATCCGCTGCTCGTCGGGGTACCCGGATGTCTCTCTCCTCCGCTGCAGCTCTTCTGGGGGACATCGAGGTGTCCCTAAAATAGCCACGAAACAATCTCCCCAGCGTGTCCTGGGTTTGGCTCAGTGTGCCCTTCTTATCTGGGAGGTGTCAAGGCGGTATCCTTCAGACGGTTACGCGGTCTGCGGGCTCCTCTCGGTAAGCAGGGGCAGTGTCCGTACTTTCAGCCTCTGCAGAAGGACGATCTGTTCTGGTTTTTGATGCACAAACGCAACAGCTTCCCCTCTGGGCTCAGCACCGACCATTAAAGCATTACAGCAGGTCACTCTTTAGCCTGACCACGAGCGTCACTTTCCACACTTTATGCATATAACGTTTTTGGCATTAACCACTAGGGGGCGCTAAACACCATATTAACACGAGTGGTTATGTCGGGTTTTTTTCTGTTTGCCGGTACAGAGGTTGCCCTTACCTGGTGTGTACACGGATCACTACAGGGCCACCGTACGGATCGCGTGATACTGACCACAGTGTTAATGAACGCGTACATTTAATGTGATTGTTTATTTAAATATGTCGTAGGAACAGGCTGTAACGCTGGGAGATGATAAGAACATATTAGAGTATTAGTTACAGTATTTGAGGATCATTTCTATGAGGAAAAACTGCATAAAAAGAGAACAGTAGTCATGAACCCGACCGCACACTGTCCGTATCCTTTCAGATTATTAGCACGGTGTTTGCCGGGACAGGCGGGAAGCCCCGGTAGGTGAACAGGTGAATTTAGATTACGGTAACCATAGTGAACCGGAAGAAAGCCCGTCAAGTGTGACCACACTCCGAGCTCGACCGATGACAGGTGAAGAGTTTTCCGTTTCAGAATAAGAGCGCTTCTTTAAACCTTGCGCATTAGCTTTTATTCTGAAAGCTGGGACCGGAAACACCGCCGTTATTCACGGGACGTGACAGACTTCCCCAAAGTCCCCGATGTTACCTTAACGACAGAAAGTTTGAAGCGGCTCCGCTCGGGTTAGTTTTCAGCGCACTGGGCGTACAGGGTCCTCTGTCATCGGCGAGTGGAAACCGCTTTCTATCCACGTATCACACAGCGAGCGTGGGCCTGTTCACGTAGACACGGGGGAGCTGAACTGTACGATGCATATGCTAGCGTCAAACGGATCCATAATGGACCTGAACTCGGAGTTTGTGAAGATTAAAGCGCACTACTGCGGGTAAGTAACTCTCCGTGGGTAAGTAGGAAACACCTGTGGAATGGACACTAACAGCTATTCAGCACGCAGCCTGGGCTTCTTGGAGCTCGTGAGTCAGAGAGGCTTTAGTACCTGTGGCACCTGTGTTTAACCCACTGTGTGCGTGAAAAATGACATCAGAGGAAGCTTCGAGAATATTTTTCACCCTCACATAAAGTCAGCGTTTGTGTTGATGATGGGCACATGTGGAGGTGCAGTGGAAGTGGGCCGCTGCTGGTTAGAGGAGTTTCCTGCAGTCATCTGTGGAATCACCTCATCACGCAGGAACAGTGTTTGTATGAACGAGGCAAGTTTATTATCGTGGAAGCAGAAAAAACAGTCCGTGTACTATCACCATGACAGAACACGCAGATTACACGCCATGTGTATGTCACATATGATATCGAGTCCACAGTGAAAATCTCACGTATATCTGATGAAGCCTTAGTGTAACCTAATACTGACACACGTGTGTGGGACAGACTGGACTGGAGGTGTGACGTCCCGTCACGGAGGGCTCCAAAACCAAAAACTCAAAAGCTTTGCA